ATAAGAAAATATGTATTATTTAATTCTGCTAAACTATACAATGCTTCTTTTTTAATGGCTACTAATTGGTTAGCCGGAATAGTTCAAGGTTGAGTGGTTCAAATTAATAAATAAACTTGCTTAACTCCCCAAAGTGACTCGCTATCGACTAAGGGTAAATAAAAATAAAATGAATAGCCTTCTTTGGGTAAATATTCCACTTCGGCTTCGGCCAAAGCAGTAGCGTGAGAGCAAGACCAATAGACTGGTTTCCAACCTTGATAAATTAAACCTTTTTTGACCATTTCTCCAAAAACACGAATTTGTTCGGCTTCATATTTTTTATCTTTGGTAAGGTAAATTTGGTCATAATCCGTGAATAATCCTAACTCTGCTAATTGTTTTTTTTGGATTTTAACTTGTTGCGAAGCATATTCATCACATTTTTTTCTTAAAACTTTTTCTTCTCCGGAAAAGAGTTGCAAAACTTTGTGTTCGATAGGCAAGCCGTGAGTGTCTCAACCCAGTAGAAAGGGAGTATAATAACCTGTGGAAGCCCGAAAACGAACAATAATATCTTTAATTAGGAAATTTAATACATGTCCGATATGAAGTTTACCGTTAGCATAAGGAGGACCCGAATGAAGAATAAAAGCCGAATTGTTTTTATTTTTTTCTAAAACTTTTTGATAAATTTGCTGATTCATTCATTTTTGCTGAATTTCACTTTCGGTTACTAAATGCTTAGTATTTTTAAGAGGAAAATCTGTTTTTGGTAAAAGCAGAGTATCTTTAATTTTTGCAGAATTCATTTATAATAATTTTTTCATTTTACCAAAGGATTAAAGGATTGTTAAAAAACTAAAATTAAACTAAAAGGTTATTCTTTATGAAAATTTCTCGACTCAAATTTTTTTTAGCAAAAGGACAATTGAAAGAAAATTAATTTACTATCTTTCTATTAATTCAATAATCGGTTGTTTATATTTTGTTGCTTGTCTAATAAATGAAAAAATTGGCTGGTTGCCTCTTCTTTTACTTAGTAAATCAATATTTTTGATACCCTTAACGGTGGTGGTTTTTTCCTTTCTAACCGAATGCTTATATGATTGGTTGACTAAAATATTAATCCCTAGCAAGGTTTTTTTGCAAGTTCTCAAAAACCAAGCGATTAATTTAAACGGAGTATTTTATCCAATTAAAGAAATAAAACTAAAAAAACAAAACAAGTAAAAATAAAGGGTAAAATAGTCTGTGAGGAAAGGCTAGAAATATTGTTTTCTAGTTCCATTTATGG